GTGTGTGTGTCTGGAGTTGTGTGTGTGTTTGTATGTGTGTGTGTGTGTGTGTGTGTGTGTGTGTGTGTGTGTGTGTGTGTGTGTGTGCAGAGGGCGGTTATATACGCGTGTGTGTGCATGCATGCGTGCGTGCGCGCGTGTGCATGCGTACGTGCGCGAGTGTGTATGTGACCATGCGCGCGCGTGTGTATGTGTGTGTATGCGGAGGGCGGTTTGAAGTGGCTATACGCGTGTGTGTGCATGCATGCGTGCGTGCGCGCGTGTGTATGTGCCCATGCGCGCGCGCGTGTGTATATGTGTATGCGGAGGGCGGTTATAAGTGGCTATACGCGTGTGTGTGCATGCGTGGTAACGAGCTTGTGCAGCAGCAGCAGCAGCAGCAGCAGCAGCAGCAGCAGCAGCTCCGCACAGTAGCGCTCAGCTGAACTCGGTGACAGGTGAAAGTTCGTAGCTCTACTTGGCTCGGAGCCCGTGCGTGCTCACTCTAGCGAGCAGCAGCTGAGCTCTCCCGTACTGACGCTACTGTTTGATTTGTTCTGCTGGAAAAACAGCCATATACGAGTTTGCAGCGGGTGCGCAGCGGGTGCGCAGCGGCCGGTGTAGTATGTGATAGCGATACGATCATCATCCACGCCATCGTCATCATCATCATCATTAGCAGCAGCAGCAGCAACAGCAGCAGCAACATCATCAATGTACGGGTTGGCTGGGCCTCGCGTACGGCGGGGTGAACGAACCGAACACTGTTATGCCTCTGTGTGTGTGTGTGTGTGTGTGTGTGTGTGTGCGTGTGTGTGTGTCGTGTCGTGTGTGTGTGTGTGTGTGTGTCGTGTGTGTGTGCGTGTGTGTGTGTGTGTGTGTGCGTGTGTGTGCATGCGTGCGTGTGTACGTATGCGTGTGCGTGTGCGATAAGGGAATCACAGCGGCTTCCTCGTACCAATACTAGCTGCATACACACACTTTGTTATTATTAACTATATATATATATATATATATAATATATATATATATATATATATATGATACATACACACGCAGCATATTATCACATATCTTATGCGATCTCCGTATATGGCATGCACCGTTAATGTTCCGGATCCGGCCGCCGCACGGCTGTCTTATCGTAAACAACAGCATTTACGTAACAGCAGCAGCAGAATCGAAAGTTGGCCGCGTTCAAGTTCGGCAAGATAATGCTTAACTTTCGCAACACCGAGCTTACGCAATGATGACGTCACGGCACCGCGGCGATGGCCCCGCCTAGCGTTGGTCCTGTCGGGCGCTATACGGATTTGCTCTCGACCCCAATCACATGCACGCACGCCCACGCCTCCCCCCCCCCCGGGCGCCGCACCCACGGGCACATGCAACAAAATGCAATCTCATCGCACAAACGCCAGCGTGCAGATAGACTTATAATGTAAACAACAAGTATAATAGTCGATAATGCAAAATTACTATAAATATTTCCGTATACTGCGCAGGCGTGCATGGAGAATGATGATGACGACGACGACGATTTTGATGATGATGATGATGATGATGATGACGATGTTCTATGGAATATTTTACGCGTCCGCGTCCGCACCCACCCGGCACGTGACAACGATGAAAAGCGCGAGTGTCGCACGACGGCACGTGACGTCACACGATGGTGACGACGTCACACGATGATGACGACATAACAACCTCTCTCCTCTCCGCTCGGCGCGTGTAGCGATGTAGCAGCAACTATGTATATGCAGCCTGTTCTGCTAGCATCTATAACAAATACGACATACGCATATATACGCTCTCCTATGACACTATTTGTGACAAAATTCTTCCTATGACAAATATTGTTATATGTGTTGCGCGCATCATAGGCGTTTAGGAGCGCTATTATGAACGCGACAAGTGAATTTCAGCTGTAAAGCGGAACGAAGTCTTCCTATGACAAATAGTGTCAAAGGAGAGCGTATATTATGCGTATGTTGTATTTGTAATAGATGCAAGCAGAACATAATTGTCATTTCCCGTGCATTGTCTCCCACGAGCAACGAAATTCAGCGGTGGGCGAGTGCAAAATTGCTACCTTCATGCAGCCTGCCTTCTAAACGCCCTCGCCTTTGTTTTAAGCGAGCACAATGTACTATTGGAACTCGCATGTGTATGAGACGTAGTCTACCTTTGTCGACGAGACTAGAGAGATATGGTGCTGGGTACTTCAGTATGCAGTATCGTCTATAAATAGACCATAGCGATCATCCGTGCGCATCACGAGATGTTGCAGGGTATTCAAACAACGCCATAAAGTCGACATTCAAGCAAGTTCTAGCGAGTTATAGCTCGTGATCCGGTATTAGTCATATTGCAGACTAGGTGCTGGGCTGCTGCCGATACCACCGGTGTCATGTTACCTAACCAGGGCCGTGTTTAAGTTCAGATTCCAAGTTTGGCGCGGCTGAATTACAAGATTCTCTGAGGAGCCAGTTTAACCGCTCACTCGACTTTCCGCAGTGCGTTTTACACCGAGAATATATATACTTATATATAATGCGACGCGTATATGCTCATATGTTAGTCAACATTTACTCTTAGATCATATAAACGCGGTTCAGCACTTCTCCATTTTTCCTCAATGGTGATCCATAATATAAATCTACAATCCATACGATATGAGTGATTTCCCGTTTATCACCCATAAACTGGATTGACGCGCCACCTATCGTGCATTGCTAGCATACGACAGTACTGTATGCGTAGATATGGCTGACAAAAACGTACACATGCACAACGGCCGCACCATTAAAGTTCAACCATACTATAATTGCCACATTCATCCTGGTTCCCGCACTCCGGTGGTCTCCTTTATATAGTAAAAAGGGGACCAGTTCCCGCTGCCTGCGGCTGCCACCTGGTGGGGGTGCACCTAACTAACCACAAGTAAACAGAGTCGTCAGGAAGACTGATGTGAGAGCGGGCGGTTAAACCTGTAACGTGGCTGGAGGGAGCTGGTATGCGTGTTTTATTGTCCCGGTTTAAATGAAATATATAAAGCAGTCAGCTTCGAATGTTCGCATAGGCGCTTAAAATCCCAATGTCCTCCCATTTGAATGAGCATTATGATTTAGGACTCCTGTTCATTGCGATGATCAAATTCTCAATAATCACCCGCCAATCAGAAAATTTTCTGTGAATGTGTCTGGTACGCTTTCACTCGCCCAATTTATTTAAACGTATGACGTTTTATTAGGTTTCTAGATTTTGTCATCTATTTAATAGTTCTCGATTTAATCTATCTATCCTCGTGTAAATATTTATGTGATTACCCAATTGTCATATTGTTACCCCTGATTACATCAGGAGTCTATCACTACTGATAGACTCCTGATTACATCAGAATAAATGTTTTATCAAATAATTTCTTTCCATTTTATTTCATTGAAAACCGAAAGTATGAAAAACGTTAATGTTGATTTAAGCCGATTAAAATGCAGACAAGCTATCTTTGCACGGGCGGTCACGACTAGAGATAGATACAATCTCTCTATGCAGCAACGCTGGTGCACTGAACTTGCGATGGACCGTGCTGCCATCTCTCGGCAACGACACGAATCAGCCTAGGAATACAATACGCGCTTTGAAACTTGTTTAGCTGTCATTGAGCGAGTAGCAGTCGCAAGGCATTAATAATGGGACCCCCTCTCTCGGCCCTTAATCATGTACACACATGTCAGTATAGCGGCATTGACTTTCGCTTAAGCGCACAGGACACAGACACAAATGAATATATGTAATAAACACGCATGCGCGTACACGCATATGAATACGGCCGACTCACACGCACGCACACGCGCGCGCACACATACACATATACATACACACGAATACGTGCACATGCAAACGTACGCAAGCCCACACATACTTTCCCTATCGCAGATACGCTCACAGACGTACGCTCATGCACACGTGCACGTACACGTACTCACACACACATGCACAGACTAACGCACGGACATACGCACCTATGCATACACATACACCCATACGCACACATGCACGTACACACACGCGCACACATGTACAGACACACATACACCCAACACACACGCACGCGCGCATGCACACGCACACACGTAGATACGCACGCACACACGCGCGCACACACTCACATGCACGCGCAGGCACATGGATGCACGCACGCATGCATGTACACACGCACGCAC